CCCAAAACCCCAAAACCCCAAAACCCCAAAACCCCGTAAAAGGATTTTGTGTGGAATTTTAATAATATTTTTAGAAAATGAAAAAGAGATTTGTGATGATGTGCATGATCGTTGGGATCTGTGTGGCGAATGTGTGTGATGAGGGAGGTGAAGTAGGAACTGTTGTTTCTGGAAGTAGTGGGATCAGTGGAGCGACAAATTGATATTTTTATAATGTTGTGGAGGATCAGGAGAGGGATTTACTCTATTTTATTGGAGGATGTTCGTTCAGCTCATACGGATGGAATTATGTGGTGTATAAGACTGATTATAGCCTACGAGAATTGAAAGTTATGAGGTATAATACTTATTTCGTGTATTATTCAGTAACTATTGACTCAAATGGAGACTTCATTTACCTCATGGATAGCTCTTCTAACAAAATAGTTGAGATTAGTACTAATCTTTCTATAACAAGAGAGTTAACTATTACTTCTGCTTACTTTAATTATTATTGACATATCAGAATGAAAAACAATCTGTATTTTAGCTTTCAACAAAGTTCAAATATGTGGGCATGTCAATGGGACACCATATCAACAAATCTGAAGTGTTTCACAATTGGAATTTATGAGTACACTAGTCTTGCTCCCATTAATACAGATTTATTATTCTTTGGAATAGTAGCTCCAGGAAGGAACGAATACTTCCTGGTTAACTACAATTTTTCAGATCCTTCAAATCCAATCTGGAGGAAAAGCATCCAATGTTCTACTTCAAGTTGATATGGGCAATACAGTACATCCCTACTGAGCCAAAATGAAGAATCAATCTTCACAATGATTTTATATGACAATAGCTTTATTTTTCATAAGCTAAGTGTAACAAATGGATCTCCTCAAAGTGATGGATTAATCTGGAATGATAATAGTCATAGTTATACTTACTCGATGAGAGAATTCAATGGCTTCATTGCTGTCCTAATCTATAGTTCAACGTTGGCAAATTACAAAAGACTAGTTTTGATAGGTAAAGAGACAACAGATGTGATCGCAGAGTATAAGTCTATGAACTCACAGTCTTATGCTGTTGGAAGATTAGTACATCAGGGACAAGAATTGATGTTCCATTGTGGAAGATATCAAGGAAATTATACGTCTTTCTTTGCAAGATCATTGACAAATGATATCAATCAATTACCAGAGTTTGAAGAAGACACTCCTCGTTTCTCTCGTATAACTTCAAACTATCAAATCTCTGACACAACATCAAATCCCAGTTTGACTGTTGCCACAAAAACACTCATAATCTCAACATCTCCATCAACCACTTCTACAGATGTGACAGCAAGTGTCAGCTCTTCATTCACAACCAAAGTTGCATTGTGGAATCAAGATCATATTCAGAATGTTCAAAGCGATTCGTTAGTGCAAATAGATTTCATTTGGGCTTGTACTCTATCTGGCAATTTAACAGAAATTTCTTTTGGATTGAATCAGACTGGATCCAATGAGATCCCTGAGTGGGTGCAGATTGAGACAGGGAAGCAAGAACTCTACCTGAATAAGACTCCCAAACTTACAGAGGAAAAGACCTTTTATTTCTCCTTGAAAATTTCCTTTGAGAGTGAGGTTCATTACAAAAGATTTGAGATTACTGTGGAGCAATGAAGTATCTCAGAATGTGAAATGTGACAGTTAGGAAATTCGACTCTATGCGAGAAATGAAAGGAAGGCTTCCAAATTTCAGCTTCTCAGAAATCCTGTCCTAAAATCCAATCCCCAACTGGTGCAAATGAAGCTGCAACTACATTGATAGCAATTAGCATGATAATGTCTAGCGCTTCATCAGTTCTCTCATTTTCCTCGGCAAATTCCATATTCAGTATGATGAACAGCCTCCAACTTGCAATGCTGCTCCCTCTGGTTCCTCATTACTTTTCTTACAAAGTTTTGGACTTCTTGAGTGGCATGGGGTTTTCCATGCTTTCCTTTGATTTTATTAAGCTGGAAGATATTTCTTTAATTAAAGGAATTATTACATGGATAACTTCTCCCCAGCACAATGAGCATCTTGAAAATATTGGGATGAGGTATGCTAGTTCAATAATTAACTATCTATCTTTGATGGTGGTTATCATTCTTGTAGGAATAATTCACTTATCGATACTTCTTTGTTATAAAAAGTTTGAAAATTCTGAAAAAGAAAGGCATAAAAAATTTATCGACAAACTTTTCAAATTTTTTACCTTCAATATCTATATCAGAATTTACATCCAAGCTTTTACTTTCACAACTCTTGCCATAAGCTCTGAGCTCTACTCCTGTAATTTCGATTCCACAACCTCTACTATCTCTTTCTGTCTCTGAATGATGTTCGCTCTTTCCTCAAGCGTGTTATTCATCCTCTCATTCCTGATGTATAAAGACTCTTTTTCAGAAATAGATGTTGAGGACCGTTGATATTGAACTGAATACTTTAATGGAGTAAGAAATACAAAATACTCCAAGCTATATTCTAGCATGTTCATGACTCTGAGATTGTTGCTGATATGGTTGGTTATTTTTGGAAAGAGTATTGATCCTCTTTATAAAGCTTTAGCTTTTTGTTTGATAAATATTGGATATGGAGCATACCTATTAATTGTAAGACCACTGGAGAACCCTCAAGATAATATTATCGAAATTATTAACCAGTTCTTATTTTGCTGCTTATCAATCCCTTTATGCTGGCTCAACACAAAACCAGACTGGAGCTCATTTTACGAACACTTCTACACATCCATCCTAATGACATCTCCCGCTATCGGAAGCATAATCTGCTTCATATTCCTCCTAAAATCAATCACCACCTACACCAACAAGAAGAAATCCCCACCAAAAATCACCCCTATCACCTCTCTCAAAACCCTAGGTCCCCACTCCAAAATCCCCAGACCCCTTCCCAAGTCCAAAAATCCACCCTCAAACATCTCCATCCAGCTCTCTGCCCAAAAGTACGCTTCAGACCTGAGCCTGCACCACTCTGAAATCACCAGTACTGTGAAAATATCCAAAATTGACCGTTTGAGGCCTCAAGCGGTTTGTTTTAAGCTGCCTAGGAAGTAAATATATAGGGTGGAGAATAGGTGGGGTTTTGGGGTTTTGGGGTTTTGGGG